GTGTTTAATACAACTAGAGTTCTACACTGGGGCCTCTGCATGCAACTGTCATACAAATAATAAAGAAACTGAATTGAAAGTATATTTTTCCTCTGTGAAAATGTCTGTGAAAAAACAACGATATTGTATATTGCACCCAAAAGAACTCCAGAGCACTTTATCACCATACTGAAAGATTGGCTACACAGCACGATTTAGAAAAAAAGAAAACTTTATTGAAAAACCCATCCACTCCTCCTACATATAATCACTCTACCTCCAGTATGACAAAATCAATCTATGATATAACACATCAAGGTTGATAAAGCGATTAGATCTTTCTAGCTACTGCTTCCATGATGTACAGAGGGGTTACACATTTTTGTTGCCCTATTTATCGCTTATTTTTTAATTCTTTATTGACTTCACCTTAAGCTCAAAAGATATAATGCAAGATTCCTTTCCAGGTGATTTCCCTGAGTTCTGCTAATCAGTTGAATTCTTTCTTTGAAGCACATAAAAGCCATTAGTTACATTGAATGAAAAACACTAGGCTAATTTATGTCAGTTTCATTATTTTGTTTATTATTTCCCATATTTTCTTATTTGGAGATGAGGATTACTGAGCTCTTACAGGTAATCCATTTGGATTCTTATTAAACCAAATCAAGGTACATCAAGGTTGAATGACGTTAATTGACCATTTTAAAATTGTAGGACATTAATTGACCATTTTAATTTTCATGTATAGGAATGCATGTGTCTGAGAGAAATTGCAGCATGTAAGAAAACTAACGTGTCTTTATTTAAAAGTTCACTACAGCTGCTGTATTTGCATTTCAAACACTTTAATACAGCAATGAAAGTTAGGACCTGGTCCTTGAGTGGGAGTCAAAGGCACTCAGCATTTCTCAACAGGCATTCAGAGCTCTGCAGAATTGGGGCCATAGGTTGCAGCTATCACAAGCTATTCAATTTAGGGGGATAAATATTCTTTTCCGAACAAATCACTTTTTATGCACCGTACTCTTTGCCCGTATCAGGAACATCTTATTTTTAAATGTCTCATTTTAATGCAAGAAAGAGATGGTAGACGAAGTCTCATGAATGCCCACACAACTTAAAGTTTTCTTAATAGCCTAAGCCAACTTTCAAGCAGCACAACAAATAGTAGATCCAGATGTGGACATATATACAGCGAAGCAACTTTTTCCAGTTCCCGAGCACATTTTTGTGCATGTAGATCATACATGACCTCCCATGTTGCTCACTAGGCAGTTTGACTGTTTCACAAACATTATGGGATGTGCAAGTCAAGCACCAAACACATCTACTTAATTCATATCCCATATCAGAGAAGAATGAAATGCTGAGAAAGATAGCCTTACAGCTACTTTTGTGAGAAGAGCTACTTCTGCATAAATCCCCAGAAAACTAAAGTTTGATTATGCAGAGAATCAAATAAACAAAAATCTAGTGTATATAATAATGAGCAAGTTGCTCTGAAAAATAATGAGCAAGTTGAAAAGAAAAACTACTCTGAGTAATAAAATTCCCTTCTTTCTGCTTTGCATCATAGAAGAAATGCAACAGCCATTGGGTTATTCCCTACCTACAGTACTTATTTCGGAAAAAAATATATAGTAGCTTTCCTTTGATTCTTAGACTGGATAAATTGCTCATGGAGTAAAGCCTCCCCCGCTTATACAGCACTAATTCAGCTATGCAGTCAAACATGTTGTGACTGTTCAAAACTGCTGAACAATTTTTACTGAGGACACTAAAAAAATGGAGCAAAAAAACCAAGAACCCAGTCTCCTTCAATCACCTCATAAAAAAGGTCAGAGAACAACTGCTTTGAAAAATCCAAACCAAGTCTAACACACATTCCTTACATTTGCAGCATTCCATACACAGTTCTGAGACCAGTAATGACAGAGAAGAGAACTGACCGTGTACAGTCCAAACAGCAATTACTTAAATGACTGCCAAGTTTATATCCCATAAAAACACATTTCCTTAAATGACACAGTAACGATAAATAAGGCTACGCCAGCTAAAGAAATCTATGTGAGGCAAACAAGTTCTTTCATGAGACATGTTATCTCTATTAGAATGTTAAAAGGTGCAAGAGATTCTCTGAGCCTGAAGTCATCTGCAAGCTAAGGGAAAATAGTCATCATGGGACTAGCACCTCTTTAGCATCCATTTCCAGCCAAAGAGTTTTATTTAGAACATCCACACCGAACAAAAAACCCAAACAAACAAACAAAACCCCAAACAAACAAACAAACAAACAAAACCAAGAAAAAAAACAACTCAAGACCTCATTAATCAATGAAAGGGGGAAATATTCTATAAGGCTATGTCTAGACTGGCAAGTTTTTCCGCAAAATCATCTGCTTTTGCAGAAAAACTTGCCAGCTGTCTACACTGGCTGCTTGAATTTCCGCAAGAACACTGACAATCTCATGTAAGATCGTCAATGTTCTTGCGGAAATACTGTGCTGCTCCTGTTCAGGCAAAAGCCCTCTTGCGCATATCATTTGTGCAAGAGGGCCAGTGTAAACAGCACAGTACTGTTTTCCGCAAAAAAACCCCGATCGCGAAAATGGCGATCGGGGCTTTTTTGCAGAAAAGCGCGACTAGATTGGCCACGGACGCTTTTCCGCAAAAAGTGCTTTTGCGGAAAAGTGTCCTGCCAATCTAGACGTGCTTTTCCGAAAATGCTTTTAACGGAAAACTTTGCCGTTAAAAGCATTTCCGGAAAATCATGCCAGTGTAGACGTAGCCTAAGAGTATAGATAAATGTTAAGATAAATGTTATGCTTAGTCTGAAACCAGATCAAAGAATGGCAACAATCTTGTTTAAATTCCAAAAGAATTTGAAGGGAATGTTTCAAAATGCACTGAGAAGATCCTTTAAAGTATTTCAAGTCTATGTAAAATTATTTTTGCGATGGCCTGAAGTTGCTACCTTGCATTGTAGAAAGAGTGCCAGTGACATGTTTTCTGACAAAAGTCCCTTCCCTTCACATCAGGAGCTGGAAACTCCACTTGAAACTCTGTGGGTGTACATCAGCAGTCAGAATATTCATAGAGAATATCTGAGTCAACAAACTAAGCCTCGTATTTATGCGTGCTCATGTGTCCAAAAACTTCTCTTGATTTCCTCTAATGGATTCATATAAATATTTCAGTGACTAAATTATTGGCATGTAATTAATGAGTTATTTGTTGCAAGTATTCAGGGTCCAAAATTCTAACTCTCTGGATTGCTTGGTAACCTGGCCAGTTCAAACAAAATATGTTTTATACAGCCAAAAACAATCTTATGCATCTAGAAAGAAGAAATTCAGACCATATCTGCAGAATGAGAGCCCAAAACCTGAAAAAGCAGCATTTCTCAAGAGAATCTAGGCATCAGAGTCATGAGCACCAGAACCTTGGTAGAAGTGGGGTGGGCCACAAGGTCCTGTTCATCTCCATAGCCCTGCCCCTGCCTCTCCTCTCCCACGTGAGTCCCCTGTACCTTGCCAGGTTAAAAACTGGAGCTGTGCAGTGATGACCATTGTCCAGGTAGCCTAGGTCATTATGGGGAACCCTGGACACTTCATCTGCTCTTGGCAGTGGGCCAGGATGCCTAAAAGCAATCCCCAGCCAGTGTCCCTACCCTTCAAGGGCACACCAGATGGAGGGCCTGGGCTCCCTGAGTCGTCCTTACCATGACACAGGTCTGGCTCCTAGCCTGGGGGCAGGGCCTCAGGGAGAAGAAAAAGGGTAGGGGCAAAGCCACAGAGAGAGGCTGGGCCTTGTGGCAAGGAGAAGCTAAGACCCACCTCAGCCTCCGCATTGGGCACCATATGCAAGGATTGAGCTGTGTAGCAAAGGAACTGATCACCAGCTCTCCTGCCATGGAGTACAGCGCCTCCAGGGCCACTCTGTACCTACCTGAGGCTTCAGAGATGGGGAGTGAGGGACAACATGTCCCCTGCTCTCACCTTAAAAATGTCTGGCCATCCCCCCACCCTTCCAGGCTCTGACACCCCTGGTCAGAGTGCACAAGCAAATCAATATGAGCACCCAGTGCGATGCTGTTCCAGCAAGAGAGGTTAATCTAATCTTTGGCTGTCTAAATAGGGGAGTAGTGAGTAGGAGTAGAGAGTTGATTTTATCTCCATATGCAGCATGTGTGACACTGGCACTGGAATACTGCATAGAGTTCTGGTGTCACATTTGAAAAAAGATATTGAAAAGCTGGACAAAGTATAGAAAAGAGCAACAAACTAAGTCAAGGGCTAGCCAAAATGCCTTAGATTAGAGAGACTTAAAGAACACAGTCTGTTTAGTTTATTGCAGAGGCAGAAGTGATTTGCTTATTGCACATGAGCACTTTCATGGGTACTAAATTGAATCTTTATTCTAGCTAACTAAAAGCATAACAAGACCCTATGGCCAGAAGCAGAAGCCAGACAAATTCAAATGAAAATTAAGGCATATGCTTTTAACAGTGAGGACTATTCATCTTCAGAACAAACTACAAAGGGAACTGGTAGATTCTCCATCCTTTGCCCAGACTAAAGACAACTAAGCTAGTTCACTGCAATTCTAACTTAACAGGCTTAGCAAAGACATAAAGACATAAATCAGCTGAAAACCCTGTGGCTCAGAACCTAAATTTTCAAGACAGTCCTAAGATGGTAACATGAAAATCAATTTCCTCAGGAATGTGCTCCTCAGTAAGGACTATTTCGATGCCAAATTTCAACTTTCCAACCTCACTGGTTTTGGCTGTGCTGCTATTTAAAAACAAAGTTGCAAGAATTTTTTAAGAAGGGGAGGGGAATGATTTCCTGACTTACTAACAGGCTGAATAGTTTTTACTCATTTATTTAAAATAATCATTTTAAGAAACAAAGCCCAGAACATTATAAACTAAAGTGTGAGCATTTCAGAAAGTTTCGAGTTACTAAAAGAAACTATGAGTATTCAGCTATTAAAGTTTTGGATTACTTACCTACATTTCAAGTGCAATTCTAAAGATCCTCCTTCAGTTGCATGAGCCCCCAGAAGCAGTACAAGGGGTGAAATTCTCACTCCCACTCTGACACCTTTATGTGGAGCAAAAGGGCTAAAGCAGAGTTAAAAAGCCTCAAACTAGCTGGGGAAGGGGGAGGTTTGGCATGGGTGGAGATGCAATGCACAGCACTACAGGAACCTCTAGCAGCACTATGGGCAATAAGGCAGCAGGGTGAGGCTGCAAACAGGACATGCATGGCTGTCTAAATTACATCAGGGACAACTCCAGGATCAGGACAATGCGAGGATGGTTTAACGCTACCTTTGATCCTCCCCCTGTCGGCTGCCAGTTCTGTACTGTGCCTCAAGATAAATCCTCTACTACTACACACTTCTTTTGGTGACATGTAGCGATCAACCCACATAGATCCCCTAGCACCAGTGTAAATAGCAGGGTAACCAGTGAGAGACAGCCTAGGGAAGTAAATATATCCCTGAAGGGTGCAGGTATGTATGCACATACAGCCCACATATGCTGTCTACTCACCTAAACCGTGCCTCCTCATCTACACTGCTATTTTTAGTCTCCCACTACAACCCTGCCACTGGAGCCTCTCTCACATAGGTGTGGGATGTAGGGGTGCAGATGCCTTAGTACCCCCAAGTGTTGGGCATCCTGGTGACATGCCCCTGCTGCCCAGAGTCCTGGCTGCCAGGCTCACCGTTCTCCCTGGGCTCTGCTTCTTGCCTGGGTGTTCCACTTCCAGACACGAGTCCTGATCAGCTGCCATTCCTGCACACAGGGGCTTGGCCACCTGCCCCGGGTCCTGCTCAGCTATCACCCTCACACACAGGGGCTCAGCTGCTTTCCGTAGAGACAGGGACTCGGCCACTGGCCCTGTGTTCTACTTGGCAGCTAGCCCTGCCACCAGGACCGCCCAGCCAACAAGCCCAGGATCCTGGCCACTGTTCCCACTTTTGGAGCCCTGGCTGAAAGATCTAAGGGGCATGGTCAGAAGTAAGGGTGGGGATGCAGCTCAGCACCCCCAATCCAAAAATTGTTTCCATGCCACTGCTTTCCCCTCTGCAGGAAAGGGCTCTCCAAGGAGAAAAAGGATCTAATAAGGACCTATGGGAAAGGCTTGGGCAGATCCCCACTGTGGCCCCTTTTCCTGCCAAAGGGAAAGGCTCTGGCAGTGGGGAAGAAGGGAGGAGGACAGCAGGGAAACAGCCTGCTTATCTCTGCAGCAGGTAGCTACATTATACACCATCACCAGTAGTGTGCAGGGTAGACATAACCTTAGAGTCTGCAGCTAGTCACCCATGTACAAACCCCCTGAGATCTGTTAGGTAACACTCTGTCAACCAACCTGGACAGGCACCCATATTGCCCCAGCCATCCTGCTATTTTAAGTAAGCAGAGCTAGCACACGTCTGGCTCTGTGTTCCTAGCTATGATGTACAGATACTGTAAGAGGTGTAATATTGATTCTTACCGCCCAAGGTGAGAAACATATTCTTTCTTTGTTTGGAGATCAGTACAACAAAAGAAGCCAAGAAAAAAGATAAAGGAAAGTAAAACAGAACAAGTAGATTTGACAAGTCCATGACTTTTTACTGTTCCTTAGCCTAACATTTTTTCAGGGTAACCCTAGAGATAAGCCAAAAAGAATTGATAGGACAATTAAAAAATTTTTCAACTTTCCAAGTTTTATATAAAACAAAGCTTCCCCCTGACTTTAATTTCCATTAGTTACAAGTCACATTAATTACTTATTCATTCTTTAAGAGCAGACAGAAAAATCAACTCTCAGAGGCCAGCACCAGACATATCCACTGTCTGAAGCAAACTGGTTCATCCCATTGCCAATTAGTCTGTCTAGCAAACAAATCCATTTTGATGGTAACATCAGATTAATCAGTGGTTTTCTGCATTTTTAGTCAGAGCTGGACTTAGAGGAACCATTGGAGTTTTAAAAAACGGGAGGAGGAGAGGGAAAGAAGCTGTGAAATGTTAGAGAAACTCACTTGGATTGCTTCCCTAAAAGCAGCAGAGTTTAATATGGGCTGGCTACCACCTGGAGCAAATTCTTCCTCGTTTCCTATGGAAATTTAAATTCCTTCCCAACTCTGTACCTGCCCTTTCAGAAAATGACCCATTGGAAAGTTGCTTCTCATTTTCTCATATATGCATGCGTTTGGGGACAACCCCACAAGTTAGTTTCCTCTCGGGGGTCAGGTGAGACATCATGGGGGGCAGGTCTCCCATAGTGCCAGCTAAAGTGGCGAGGAGTCCTGTGGCACCTTATAGACTAATCGAAGTGTTGGAGCATAAGCTTTAGTGGGCAAAGACCCACTTCATCAGATGCATGTAGTGGAAATTTCCAGAGGCAGGTATAAATATGCAGACCAGAATCAGGCTAGAGATGATGAGGTGGATCCAATCAGGGAGGATGAGTCCCACGTCTAGTCGCTGATCTGGAGGTGTGAATAGCAAGAGAGGAGAAGCTGCTTTCGTAGTTAGCGAGCCATTCACAGTCTTTGTTTAATCCTGAGTTGATTGTGTCAAACTTGAGTATGAACTGTAAGCTCAGCTGTTTCTCTTTGAAGTCTGGTCTTGACGTTTTTTTGCTGCAAGGTGGCTACCTTTAGATCTGCAATTGTGTGTCCAGGGAGATTGAAGTGTTCCCCTACAGGTTTTTGTATATTTAGTGCCAGCTGTAATTCATATTGCAGAGTAATGCTGCATTGAATGCTCTGGACATGACTGCTATGTGCTTTGCAAAACCTACCATAATGTTTTATTTTTGGGGGCATGTTGCTGCCAACACTTTCCATTCTAAAAGATTTATGCAACTATTTTCCTGAGAGGTTCCAGCACCTCCATTGTTTGCAGCAGCATCCCTTTGTGATAAAGCAAGAGAGGTCCCTGGGTAGGGAAGGGCTTTGTTCTTTGTGCCATGACATTTGATTCAGATTTATAAGTGATACCAACTTTTGAAAATCTGTCTTCCTCTTCTCTCATTTGCTTGCCTCAAGAAAATTTTGGCAGCACGCCAAAACATACTAAATAGGAACATTATAAAGTGTTATGTCTACCTCACCACCAAAATGGAGTAGATAGTGTTGACTGAACCAACCTTGGACACTGAATATAGATAGCCACAGTAGTTCCTCAAACAGACACAGAGAGAGAATAAGGGGGCACAGGGTGGATGGGTTCCCCTCACTGCTCCTTAGGGCCCCAAATATCCATCTTTTCCCTCTATACACAAACACACATCTTGCACATGAATGTAGTTAATGCTGTTAATCAGGGGCGGCCCGTGCCAATAGGCAAACCCAGCAGCCACCTAGGGCACCAAGTTAAATGGGGCACCAAATTCCCTGCCACTTCCCCTTTCCCTTCCCCTTCCCGTAACGCCTGGCGTTGGCCCCAGAGGAGGAGCGCGGCGGCTTCCCTGCGCCGCAGGAGGGGTGAGTCGGCCCCTGAAGAGGAGCGTGGGGAATTGACCCCAGGGGAGGTGGCGCATGGGGGTTCCCCATGTCAAAGGAGGGGGAGTCAGCCCTGGGGGAGGCACGCATCAGCGTCCCCTGCACTGCGGGGGGGAGGTCAGCCGCGGGAGAGGCACACGCGGGGGTTCCCCGCAACACAGGAGGGGGTGGTCAGCCCCGGAGGAGGCACACGCCGGCTTCCCCTTCACCGTGGGAGAGGGGGTCGGCACAGGGAGAGGCGCGTGCAATTTTTCCCTGCATCACAGATGGGAGGGTGACCCTGGGAGAGGCACGCGCCGGCTTCCCTCTGAGGGGGGGAATCCTGGGAGGAGGCGGGTGCAGGGGACTCTCTTCCCTCACTGGCATCCTGTTCCCTCTCCCCTCTCCCTTCTCCCCTGTCCCCAGCCACAGAACTCTATCCCCAGCCCCCCTCTCCGCAGCGATGTGGTGGTAATGGCAGTTAAAGCAGGATAGCGTAATGGACTATTTTGGATTTGTAATAATAAAAATTATAATTAACATTTGTAATGCATTTTTATTTGAAATCGTACTGAAATATCATCTAGCTGTCATGTACAAATCTATTCTGAAAATTTCCTGTCTCTATTGTAATCTGATCTCAGGAACATTGGTTGGACAGACGGACAAACCGAATAATTATGCCTGTTTAAATAAATATGCTTAAAACACATTAAATGGAAAATAGGGGCAAAATATTTCCCAGTTTACCAAAAACCTCAGCCTATATCTGCCCTTGGGATTGGGGGGGGGGAAGTGTGCAGATTGCATGGTTCGCTAGAGCACCAGTTGCTGGCAGCTAGCCTAGGGCCGCCCCTGCTGTTAATCAAATGGTAGTTTAAGCTGGAAATGCCACTGATGACACATGAAGGGGGAATTGTTACCATTGTATAATAATATTTGACTTTATGCTTTTCCATTCAATAAAAAAAACCCATGGTACACCATTACCTATGTTAAAAGAACATTATTTCACTTGTAAAGTGACTCACTTGAGAATTGCAGGATTCAAGGCTGCCTGTGAAATTAATCTTTTGTATTAGAAACATGGGCATTAGAACGTCCTTCTTAATCAGTCTCTCCTCCCTTTTTGTTCTTTACTGCCAGATAAGTTACTTCCAGCTGTGGGAAGCAAATGGTGTTCTGCAGTGGCTAGCTAAAAAAAATACACACCTGCCATAAAGTTAAGAATATTTCAGAGGTGTGTATTGTATTCTGTTTGCAATTCACCGTGAAGAGATGCAATAAAAAATTGTCTTTTGATTACCAGATGCTTTCAAGTATCTCTAATTATGTGAGAAATTTAAACAACTGCTATATTATTATATATATTGTGTGGATGTATCATTCACAAAAATATACAGAGTCTGATTCCCACTTTACACTGCTGAGGGCACCAATTAGATTTACAAGCATGTCAAAATGTCTCTTACACTGCAAGAACAGATTAGCCTTAACGTAAGTGAGAATCATGCCCACAATATTTTGATGGAGATTCATGTAAGGGATCAAGAACAACTTAGAACAACTTATTTGCCTTTGCTCAATAGAAGGAAAGGAAAAAAGGTTTAATTTCCCTAAAATAACATTTGCATTTGGCATAGAGAGTCTGCAGATAACAGATTAGGTTAAATTCAT